CCCATGTCTGGACATCTATTTGTTACACAAAAATAAAATTCTGTAGACAAGATGTTAAGTCTTTCTTCTTGTTTAAAACTAAAACTTTAAATCAGCAAGTTGCTGTACAGCTGGAAAGCAGCAGACTCTTGTTTTTTGTTGTTTTTTCATTTTTTTTCTGATTACCCATCCAGTAAGCATCCAGCAATGGCATCCATGCACTGTCTTCTTAGTCTGGCCTCTCTCATGTGTGCTTCTCCAGCCAACGCAGGACAATAACTTACTTTGTAGGATGCCTCAGGGACTTTATCAGTTTTACTTTCAAAAGTGTAATATAAGATTTTTAGCTTTTGAAGAACTGATTATGTCTGCATTTGAAGTATTCACTACTTCTTAAAAAATTATTTATCTCAAAATAATGTTGCAATCAAACTGTCACAATAAAATGACTAGAAAATAAATCACAATAAAAAATTATTACCATCTATAAAACTGAAGGGATGATCGCTTTTGTCATATTTTCATTTCTTATGGACAGCTCTCCCATCTTATTGGGAGTAGATTTCTCGTTTTCATGAGTAAGAGGCCTCTTTGGAATATTAGTGTCTCCTTTTCTCCAGCTTTCGAAATAAACTGTGAAAGGACGGTGGAGACAGGAGGCTGTCAGTCTCCTCCATCTCCAACAAATGTCTCCCCTGCACAGGAAGAAGAATACATTACAGATATATTCCTTTTATTTCAGTGAAAATATTATGGAATTTCATAATAGTCATAGTTAGATGAAAATTTTAAAATTAGGACAAAATTTAAAATATTTTACATATGTATATAATTATAAAATAAGACATAAATTGCCTAAATTCTGGTTGTGATTTCATGTATGTTAGAGATATAACTCTAAATTTCATAATAACAGTGTCTTGGACAGAACTCATTACAGAGATTACAGGAGGGAAAATTAAACCAAGCCAGTAAGTGTCCAGTAAAATTATTAAAAATTAACTGGATTAATCTCTGGAAATGTACATCATTTATACCCTAAATTCACTACCTTAAGAATATTCTTGGAAATGCAAGCAAATATTTCAGTAACCATAGTAGTGATGATGTTATCAAGTAGCATGTAGGGTCTGGAAACCACCATACATATTCATTTAGGAGCTGAGACTGATGGTGTTCTGTCTTCTGTGTATGGCTTTTGAGGTGGACCATGGAAGAGAGGAAAAGGGAGTGGAGAATTGTTTCAAGTAGTTTTTATGGCTCAACCTTCGAGTGAAGTTCAGCCATTTTGTCCACATTTCACTAGGCAGAACTCAGCCACGCAGCTACCCACAACTATAAGGGGGGCTGGGGAGTGTAGTCAGCTGGTGCCCGAAGGAAAGAGACTCGGGTTTTGTCGATTAGAGATTAGTCCTTAATATAGCATCTAATTCGATAATTTACTGTGGGAGCCTCTGATTTGGAAAGGGGTAGTTTTATGTGTTGTAAATACGTCAACAGTATAGGAAAATCAACCTGGTATAAAGTCACTGTATTTTTTATATACACAGAAAAATACGCTAAATTCAAAAGTATTTATGGGGCTCCCACTATGTCCAAGTGGTATTCTAGGTCTTGGAGACAAGGAGCAGTAGACAAAAATCCCTTAGAGTGTGCTTCCTTATAGTCTGGTGGGAGTCAACGGCCAATAAGAAAGTAAACCAATAGTAAAACAATAGTGGATTTTGATAAAAGAAACCATGAAGGAAGAAAATAAAGTAAGAGGTAGAGTTATTTTAGAGAGGCTCATGAAGGAAGGTCTTTTGAGAAGACGGTACTCCAGTCATGAGCTGAAGAAGGGGAAGGATCCAGCTGTGCAAAGAGCTGCAGGGGGAGCGGGGGCAGGGTAGACGGAGCAGACAGCAGGTTCTGAGCGCTGAGGGACAGCCTCACGTGCCAGAGGAACAGGAAGGCTCCATGTGTTTTGAGAGATGACAGAGAAGTCCAGAGCCTGTGGTACATTGGGCCAGGGGGTCAGGGCAGGAACACAGAGAATTACAGTCCTTGAGAAAGATCTGTGGTTTTATGCTATGGGGAGTGACGAGCCAGGTGAATATAACGATTTCATTTATATTTTTAAAAAGTTTACTTGGGTTGCTTAGTGGAGAACATTTTGGGAAGGTCTAGAGTAGAAGGTGGCTCACTGAGTCTAACCTCACTGTGCCGCTGCATAATCATTTCTGTCATCGCCCATGAACAACCTGGGGCAAAAAAACCCCAAAACAACAACAACCAAAAAAAAAAAAAAAACAAAAAACAAAAAACACAACTACAACAACAACAAAAAACCCCACTAATCTTAACGTTCTTAAATTTGGTGTAGGCTGCTTTAAAAAAATTATTGTATTGTTTATTTTCTATTTTGCAGGTCATAGGGCTATCTGTTATTGTGACTGTGCTATTACTGGTGGTTCATTCAAATGGAAGTACAGAAACAATTTCTCCCTCTCTCCCCCCGCCTGTTCTTAACCGTCAGTGCTCTCACCATTAATACAAAGACAAAAAATAAATTTTCAACTCCCAGAACTGGCATTTCTCTCAACATTGTCTAGCACAAGTTATAAAAATGACAAATGTTAGCCTTCAAACCAGAAAACGGAATACCAGCTACATTTCCACAAGAATCATAGGAATAGCCATGCCACCTGAAACATTCGAACCTATAATGACTATTATTAAATGTTATGCAAAATAGTGAAAGGGACATCATAATAAAGAATCTGGAATACTGAGGTGGGCAAGCTTGATGTAAAAGTGAGGGGGAAATATTGGGTCTCTTCAATACCAAGAAAACTGCTTAGTGGTGGCAAACAATCTGAGTAATTCTGTACAAAGCATAGTTCTTTTATTGTACACAGTAGGTATTAAATATACACTTTTTTGAGGGGCACCTGGATAGCTCAGTCGGTTAAACATCTGTGTCTCGATTTCTGCTCAGGTCGTGATCTCAGGGTCATGAGATGGAGCACTATGTTGGGCTCTCTGCTCAGCAGGGAGTCTGCTTGAGATTCTCTCTCCCTCTCGCAAATTATATATATATATATATATATATATATATATATATATATATATATATAGCATATATATCATATATATATTTAAAAGAATAACCAAATATCCATTAATTTAGATAAAGCAAAAAAAAATATCCACTTGGGGATATCCTGATCCAAATTAGCTATGTGGTCCTCATTTCTGCATCTTTCATGGAAATTGCATACAGTTACTTCTTCCTCCCTCCTTCCCTCACTCTTTACCTTTTCTTTCCTTCCTTCTTTCTTTCCTTTTTTCCTTCCTTCCTTCTCCCTTCCTCCCCACCCCCCATTCCTTCCTTCCTTCCTTCTAAAAGGTAAAAGAACTGTTTTCAAAATAATTATACAAAGGAGTTTGTATCTCAATTCAAAATATATTACCACATTGCAATTGTGTTCTATAATAAAGTGAACCTAAGTAGTGGACCTAACTGAATTGTGGCCTGGCTTATTCAGGCCTTTCAATTTCAATAGATCAGTATGTATTACTGATTAAGAAAATAAGGGAAAAAAACTGTAATGAAAATAAGGACAGTGACACAGTCACTGGAAATCACGGGCTTGGCATCTTCAGGCACACGGACATATAAAGGAGCACCCCTAGGTACACATCGACATCTATGCACACACAGTCTTGATGTCCAGAAATTATTGCCTCCTGAGAGTGCTGCCCTTTCATATTTCAGCCCTAGACTTCTGTCAAGCAGTGTCTCTCAACATATTTCTAACTTTATAAGATTTTTAATTTATAGCCAATACCTTAATAGTATAAAGAAATTCAATTTCACAGTCCTCCTTTAAATTGGATGCCATGTGTCTCCAAGAAAAATTTTCATAGCCATTAATGCCTTTATCCTTAAGGAAAAGAAAATCCAATTCAAAGTAACTGAAATTATAAGGACATACATTGTTTCAAAAAGCAAAAGGGGGAGGAAAATGTGACTACAGGGTTGTTGAATACAGTGCCCCAGTGATGTCCGTAAGGATTTGCATTCTCCAGGTTTCTATTCTGCTCCCCCTTGAGAGTTAGCATCTCCTCACATTAGTCCCTATCAACATCATAAGCTGACCACTGTGCATGATCCCAAAGGTACCCCATACAAGCCAGATCACAGAGGGAGCCAGAAAACTATATGCCTTGTTTCTTCTTATTACTGAAGAAAAATTTCTCAAAAGTCCTTCAAATGGCTTACCATTACATTTCACTGGTTGCATACCTACCTCAAAATCAATTTTAGGAAATGGCAACAAGCTCACCATGATGGCTTTTAACACTTAGAACGCTTCTGAGGCTCACAATAAGTCAAGCTTCCCCCAAGTACGTGAGCAGAGAAGGACACATACGTGGACCTGGGGTGGGGTGAGGGGAAAGCCAGAGAGGGAGCTGGCCTTGAGAGGACCCAGCGTCTACTGAGGAACACTTTGGAAGCTAGCATGGACTAAAAAGTTAAGGAAAAATGTCTGCTGGAAACAGGATAGCACATTCTGCTGGGGGACAGAGCCCCTCGGTTTCACAGATGAAATTTGTACTTCCAGTATTTCAGTGGCAAAGAAAATTGTGTTTCAACAACTTACAAAATCTGTTAAATTCAACAAAATGATTATATGTGTCATAGATGGAAGTTTACTCAAAGCTTGACTTACCTATGGATACATTTTACAAAACCGTCTGGTGTCTGATTATGGACTTAGAGATAATGAATAATATTTTTACTTGATGCCTAGATGATGAATGGCATTGGAAGGTTTTTAAAAATGGTTTCTTGTGTGGTGATAAAAACGCTGTGGTAATAATTCTGTCATAACATTATCATGTATTTTGTTTAACCACTTAATTTCTCTTAATATATTTTTTGGCAGATTCTTGAATAATTTAATGGTATATTACTCACCATCATTTTAAGGAATAAATGCAAAATAAGACTAATTATCTTTTTCTCAATTTTTAAGATCCTGACTTTAAGGACCTTGGAGTTTTGAAACCATTACCAGGTTGGTAAAATAGATACTCGATAATGTTCAGAGGACTTTGTTTTCTGCTCTGAAATATACTTTTGGTTTATTATTCAAGCTCCATTTTTGTGTGTTTGTTTGGCATTTCGTTATTTAGCATGTGAGTTTGAGATGGGCGGTCCTGAAGGAATTGTGGAATCTATTCAAATTATGAAAGAAGGCAAAGCTTCTGCTAGTGAGGCTGTGGATTGCAAGTGGTACATCCGGGCACCTCCACGATCCAAGGTCAGTCTGAAGGTGAAAACATTTGACAGTCAGCTTGGGAAGTATCTGGAGCACCCTTTGCTTTGAACCAGCTGGACATGCTTAGTGAGTTTCAGAGTGCAATCATAAGCTTTCGTTTTACTTTAGTTTGAAATGCAACTTGTCTTACCCCATCCAAGGAAATTTTTGATGCCATAAATAATATGGAGAAGGTGCTTTGAAAAGATCACCTGGACAAGAGATCCTAATGTGACACCCCTCCCTCTCTGGAAAATGGATTGAAATTCTATACCTAAGCTGTGGGTCTAAGTATAATCACATTTATGCCTTTATTGTCAGTATCTGTATTTTGCTCGCTTTTCAACCTAATATCGAATCTTTGGAAGAAATTGTCCAGGCCTTGCCAAAACCCCATATCTCTGGCATATAAAATATCTTGTGATAAGGCTGGGGGGCTGTGGTGAGCAGGACCTGGGAGAGCCTGGACCAAGCAAAGAGGTCAGCCAGGACTTCACTGCCTCTTAAGCTACTTTTTATTGTTGTTATGAGAACATTTTGGTCTAACATTACCAAGCCCTACAATGTTCTCATGACAGGGAAGTCAGCATTTTATGTTATCACCTTGATTTTTAAATACCGCAATACATTTTTTAAATTGTAAATTTACATGCTATTAAACGAAATACATTATGGGTCAGATTCAGACTCAAACCACTATTTTGGAACTACTTCCTTAGAACAACCGTATTTATCCTCTTATTGAAATTTTAAGGAATACTGGGGGTAGTGACTTTGTCAGTCACTACCATCTGTGGGGACTGTTGATTATTTGCCGGTCTCCCTTCCTGTATTGTCATTCCTCGGTTATATAGTTTCAGCTAAGCCTTATTGATTTATTAGGTTTGTCGTTGACTTTACTGAGGTTGAAACAGTTTGTTATTTAATTAATAGATTTAGTGGCTCTGTAAAGTCTCAAGCATCACGTTGGAGAGATGAAGAAAGCATGCCAGCCCCTGTCCTCTTCCTGTTTAATTCTTAGACAAATGTGTAACCAAATAACCCAAGGAATGAGCCATGAGCATTGAGGTGTCCCTAAGGTGTAGTAGAGAGAGCGGGAAGTCGCATACACCTGCAGAGGTAAGTCAAACGTGGAATCAAATTCAGCCAGGGTGTCCAGTGACTCTTAGTAAGAAACAGCTTTGTGTCAGGTAGATCAAGGAAGGGCTCTCCAGGTAGAGGGAGAGCACTGGGGCCATAGAATCAGCAGACAATTAGGAATTAGGTAATTGAATGTGACCAAATAAAAGCATGGAGGTGAATAAAAGTATGGAGGTCGATGGTGAGTCTTTGAGCCCAAGGGCTGTAAAGAACCTGGATTCATTCCAGTAGCATTAGTGATACACAGAGAAGCATGAAGCAGGAAATCGATGTGATCAGATCTGCATTCTGGAAAAAGAGCTTTTCCCTGGGAAGCAGGGACAGAGGCATGAACACTGCAAACAGAACACTCAGGAGGAAGATACAGCAATGAGCCCCATGGTTGAGGCTAGCTGGTGACGGTAGACAGGCCGAAGAAAGATTCAAGATCAATAGAGGAGAATTTGGTGGCTGGATATTCAGGATGTGGGGGGAGGGATAGAGGCATCTTTGAGGAGGCTGGCATTTCAGGAAGTATGTTGGTTTTTTTCACTTGATTTTCCAAGGAATCTGTCTCTGGGTCTGCATACGATTTATAAGTGCGGCACGCTTTGCCCCGACATCGCCGTCAGAGACATTCAGAGCCACGCTCCCTCTTCCAGCTTTGCCCCTGGTGGGTCTCTTTGCATCTGTGCAAATCTTTGAAAACTTTTATTGTATTATCAAGAAAGACCCAGTGATTCCTCCTTTTAAAAAAAAAGAATCAAAGACTTTTCATGACATAAAAGCCAACGCACTCCCTGGATTATAAAGGAGCTAGATTGCAGTGTGTTATTCTCTCTTATGTAATCTGTGGGTTCACGTGCAAGTGCTATTCATTTTTCTTAAACTCTATGAATGAAATGAAAAAAAAAGTTCTTCAGCTGGAAACATTTGAGCCCGTCCTCATTGCTGTAAGCAGCATCTTTGTCACGGCAGTGTTAAAGAGAGGGCTTTGATGGGAGCGTAAACACACATCGTTTTTTTCCAGCTGGTAAATATAGGCTGTCTTTTGTACAATTCCAGAGCAACAATACCCAGTGTACCTGTCTGTTACAGAATTTGGCATTCTGTGACCCAAAGGGGAAGCCGCCTGCAGAGCTGGACAAAGATGACTCTATTGTGACAGGCTTTCTCCGTTAAATTAAAGGTTAGAAGATAGGAAGTGGCTTTGAATAACTGTGGAGAAAAGCAAGAACTGGATATGACTGCCTATGTGGGCTTTCTATTTTTGTGGAGTTCCTAACAGCTTATGAGGATAGACTATCAAAGCCTGAGTTAACTTGAAGGGGCTCGTGGTGAATATTTGAATGATAACTGGGGAATTGAAACATATTACACAATGCAAGTGCTAAATAGTTTCCTGGGGTTCTATTAAAATTTATATCAAGGCTATATTGCTTCTCAGACTTTTGACAAATAGAAAATAGTCATACAGATGACCACCTTTAATTAGAATGTGATTAGTCCAGATTTCTTAGAATTTGGCATACTAGAGCCAGAAAGAACGTTGGAAATCTGCTCCTGATTAACTCATTTAACGGATAAATAAGCTGAGACATGATCATCAAGTCTTATATGGGCTAATAATGGAATATAGAGATCTCTTTGTGTAGACTCTAGAGCAAGGATGGTGGAAGGGCGTTATGGTATCTTGTCCTGGATCTGGTACAGAAGAGAACTGACAGAAAAGAATTTTGGGTGATCACATCATGGTAACTATTTGAATGTTAATTCCCTGAAGGCTGCAGCTTAATGTATCTCTAGATACTCAGTACCAAGTGAAACATCTGTCATTCAGTTAAAACTCATGTAATACAAAACAAACTGATGTGTATCTAGAAAAATGGACATGGTGGCAATCTTCAGACATTTGAAGGACTCTCATATGACAGGAGAACAAGAGGATAAGGGTTAATCTGCATGATTTCAAGTACTATAATTTATTTGAATGCTTGAAACTGGAAATATATAGCTTTTGGTTTGATATAAAGAAGGTTTGTCTTTAGTTTTAATAATGGAGCTGCTCAAAAACCAAATGATATTCCATAAGGAGGAATCTAAATAAAGTTTGGCAAAGATTTGGTACAATAATTTAAAAGCGAGGTAGTTCTTTAGCATAGATAATATTAAACTCCCCTCAAGACCAAAACTTGGTGAGTGTATGGTAAGTGACTGCCCAAGTATTTGGTCTGTTGGTACAGAGCTAAGGCAAGATTTCAGTCTCCTGACTCGCAGTCCAATGTGGTGTCACCAAACCACACTAACTATTTGAGGGAATTGTCAAATTTGTTAAGATAGAAAAAGAGATAAATCCAAGACTTATAAAAGTACACAAATGTAGATGATTAACTTAATGATTAAGGTGTTGGGACAATAAAAGTACACAAATGAAGATGATTAACTTAATGATTAAGGTGTTGGGATAATAAAACTCTAGCTTTTAGTAATTACCCATCATTTAAAACTTAACATTAATTTTTAATGTGTTGTTACTCTAGTCAAAAATGTTTTGAATAAAATTAGCATTAAATAAACAGGAAAACTTGACAAATATAGTAAGTCCATATTTTATAGTGAAGTTGTTTTAAGGTAAATTATATGATGAACTTAATTGTAGGTGGAATCTTAAAGATGACACCCAAGGTTTCCAGCCCAATTAGTGACTGTGAATATAAAATATCACATACCTGATTATGTTAAATTATCTGGCAAAAGGGATTTTGCTGATGCAATTAAGGTTACCAATCAGTTGGCTCTGGGTTAATTAAAAGACAGTTTATCTAGGTGAGCCTATTCTAATCACATGAGCCCCTTAAAAGCTGGATTTTCTCTGGCTGTAGGCAAAAGGGGGAGTCAGAGGAACTAAAAACGTTTTCTAGGAGCTAAAAGTGATCCCTGGTAAATGGGCATCAAGGAAACAGGTACCTTGATCCTAGAATGGCAAGCAGGTGGGTTTTTCAGCCTCATATGCCCTTAGCAGAACACAGTCCAGCCCCCAGTCACTTACCCTACAGAACTCAGGGATACTGAATGGGTCTTGTTTAAAGCTGCTCTATTTCTGGGAACTTGTTACAGGGCAAGGAGAAAACTAACAGCAGATGAAGAGTAGTAACTATAATTGATTACAATGATAAATTTTAGGGTTCTAAAGACTGAGTCTTCCTTTATTATCTCTAAAAGTGAAAATAAAAATTGAGTCAACAAAATGGAAATTTTAACTGGCTAGATAACCACCAATGAACAGCTCACAATTCACTTTGTTTTTAACTGAAATCTCAGTTTTGTACAATCAGATTTTGGAGATGGAGTGTTTTGATACTTGCTTATGCATGCCAGAAAATCATTTTAATATTCCCATCAGGATTTGTTATAGGAGGTGCCATTTCAACATTTCAGAGAATATGATGTTGTGATTTCCTCCTCCGAATAAAGGGGATGCTGCTATTAGCCTCCAGATTCATGGGATATCGAACCTAAAATTCTAAGACCTGGAATGTCCAGTCACAAATCAAACAGTAAACAGGGAAGTTCTGGGCTACACATTTTTTAGAATGTGGCTTTATTTATTAAAGTAGAAAGTATTGAAACCATGGACAGCATTTCTCAGGCTGTGGTGTGTATGTATTTAATTTGTATTTTCATGGAGAAAACTGTTCTGGCAAGTCTTAAATAATTGCCCCAAACAATGTCTGTTTTCTGCATCTCACTGCAACACAAGGGGAAGGACCAGGTTGAAAGGTTGGTACTAAATGTTTTTTTGTAAATATATTACTTAGTAAATTGTTAGCTAGATTTACTTGCCTTAAGTACACAAAAGGGATTCTGCTCTGCATATTAGTGTG